TTTTTTTTATATCATCTGCACTCTCTCCTGTTTCTTCATTGACTCTGATCAGTCTTTTGTTATTCTTCTTTGCATTGTCTAGCAGCTGCTGGATTGATTTCTTGTGGTCCCTTACTGTTTTAGAGAAATTTTTCTTTTCCTGGTCACTAATTGCATTCCTATCTTCTATATCTGAAATTCTATCCTCCCATTGGTTTATTCTGCTGCATAAACTTTCAGTGGAGTTTTTAATCTCCTGGAAATCTGTTTGCATCTGTTTTATGTATTCCTTTTTTTTTCCTATGTTGGGATTCCATCATATTCCTCAGCTCCTCTGTTTTTTAAATCTGTGTCCTCTCCAGATTTATTAATCATGTCTTGTAGTATGGGCATAATCTGTGCCATTATCTGAGATATTATTTCTGATTTCATTTTTTCCAGGTCCCCTTTCATTGCCAGTTCAGGGAGTCCAGATGGTTAAGTATCAGAGTGTTCCATCTTGTTGCCCTTTGGGGTTCCCTTAGGTGATCTGGAAGTCTGGTTTTGAGACTTATTTGTGTGTCTTCTCATTTCAACAGATGAGGCCTGCTGTCTCTGTTGCAGCAGCTATTTGTTCACCCAGTGGTCTTCAATTCTCAGCAAGGCACAGAGCAGCCTTTGCTCTGCTGCTCATCAGTACACCAATTCCTGGGTTCAGAGTAGTGACCTTCTAGATCCCTGAGCTGACCTGTTGTCTGAACAGGCTTCTGGCTGGGGCCTGAGAATACTTGGGATGATATCTAGGCATGCCTCTCACTGGGGCCCCTATGTAGCTATTGTTTGGGAGGGCCTTTGTTTGGGGACTGTGCACCCCAGTTTCTGCTGTCTGCACAGGCTTTGGCTAGGGTCTCCTTGAGCTTATCAATGGTATTGGGGTGAGCCTCTCGGTATTGCTTGTGTGCCTGTACAGCTTTTCTACAGGCGTGTCCCAGTGATAGATGGTATGGCAAGCCTCTGGCTGAAGCTGGTGTGCCCCTGTAGCGCCTTTCTGGGTGGGCCTTTGGCTTGGGTGGGTGTGCCCAAACCTCTGGGGTCTGGGCTGAGCCAGGGCTGGGATCCGCCTGTAGCTGCGCTTGTTCCAGGCCACAAAGTTGCTCCCCAGGATCTGCCTGCTCTTAGGGATGGAATGGTGGGCCTCTTGTGGGAGCCCACATGCCCATGCAGCTCCTCTCTCCAGATGAAATTTCAAATAAAGTGATTAAATTGACATGTCCCATTGATTCTAATATCGGGATAAAGACAAAGGAGCACAAAACTAGAAAGAATCTTGCAATGCAACCAGGCAATCCAGGCCAAATTCCTCATTTTAGAGCCAGATGCTTAGACCCAGGGTACTTAAGACTTTTCTAAGTCCACAGGTTTGGTAGTGCTGGAGCTAAGATGACAAACCCAGTATACTGTACCTAGCCTGGTACTTTCCCATCAAATGACATTTCCTCCTAATTCTTGGAAGGATGGGGGCCATGCCAGCTGAGATACAGGACACATCTCTTTGCAGTTGCTTTGCATTATTTTATTTCATAGGTAAAGGCCAGTCCTGGAGAGAAGAAAACCACCATGGCTACCAGGGCAGATGTCAAGGATGCAGGGGGAAATGTTACCACTGATGATGACTCACACCCAGCTAAGGACCAATCCTGCAGGAAAGGTAAATCATGCACAGGGATCTGGATGCGGGAAAGGCCAGAATCTGTGAAACTTCCACTACCCTGCTGTTCCTCTACAGTATTCTCCTTGCTCTGGTCAATTGTCAAGGATTCTGCATAGCTGTAGAGCACATTTAACACTTACTACTTCATTTCTCACAGGAAATCTCGAAGGATAGTAAGTATTATGATATTATTTGGAGATGAAAATGACTCAGAGGAGATTCTAAATAGGAAATGTGGAAACCTTGTCTGAATCTGACCTGTTAGATTTCTCTGCTAATACTAAACCCAGACCCAACTCAGAAAGAGCAGGATTTCTTTTCCACCATATCATAGAAGCAGCCCTTGTTTCTTTCTCTCATTTATGTTATAACGTAGTATTTTTCTATAGCATGCCATAAACATCACTTTAGAACAGTTTCACCCTTATTTATAGCCGTCATCCCTTAATTCTCCTAAAGATAAAGGCTGTCCATGAAATAATGCCTTTTAAAAATTAAATGCTTGGGCCGGGGATTTACCTCAGTGGTTCGGCCACCTACCTCGCAAGCCCAAGGTCCCGATTTCGATCCCTGGTACCACAAAAAACAAAACAAAACAAAACAAAAAACCCCACACACAAAAAAATTAAATGCTAACCAAGATGGAATACTTTGTAATACACACACCTTAACTAGTTTGTGTGTTAGGAAATAAACCTGTCTTCAAGAAAAGTGGGCTTCTGCCACCTGCCCCGCAAGCTCAAGGATCTGAGTTTGATCCCCGGTATCAAAAAAAAAAAAAAAAAGAAGTGGGTTCTCCCAATCTATTCCACCATAGAAGAAATTAGGAGATGTGTATGTTAGTGCTCATCCTACAATTCATCACTTGATCCAAAATAAATGTCGTGCTATTCCGGTGATATTAGCTTAGATCTCATCCATCTCTATAAGTATGTTGGAGTCTATTGGACTACATCATTAGCAAAAGTCTATATTCTTTCCTCTCTGTTCTTTCTCTCTCTCTCTCATTTAATAATACAAAGAACTGTTATATGTATAAAATTGTACTAAGGTACAGAATGGCATGCAGGGTAGAAGCGCATGGCAGAAACCAGACTGCCTGAGTTTGCAATCTTGATTCTGTCATTTCTGAGCTGTGTGACCTTAAACTGTTTACCTAAACTTTCTGCATCTCAATTCCTCCATCTGTAAAAATGGAGTGATGATAATAGTAGCCAACTTATATGACTGCTACAAGGATTAAATTATTTTAACTATAAATACATAGAGTGATACCTCACACAAAGTAGAAATGAAAACTCTTGATTTAAGCAACCAATTTTCTGAGTCTATAACTTCAAGAAAAAAAAGTAGAATGAAATAGAAAAATGTAAAAATAATGTGCATTCAAATAATAAAGAAAATAGAAAAATAGGAGACAGAAACATTGAAAAATATAATATACTAATTAGGAGGAAATGAAAAAATGAATTTTTTCTAGGAATTATGATTAATAATTTATTTTAGTCATATATGATTTCATGTTCTGTCTCCTATTTTTTCATGGTTACTTGTATATAAGCTCTGTCTGATTAATGTTAATAGTAGATTGCTTTTTATTGTTGTGAATAGATCTTTAATAAAGAAGCACTCGTATAAGTTTTTCATCTCAATTCCTTCATGATTTGAGGGTACATTATTTTCTACATTCAAATTTTCTATTTTATTCTACATACTTTCCTTGAAGTTGTAGACTGAGTGAATTGGATGCTTAAATCACCAGTTTTTGTTTTCTGTATAACCTGCTTCTTTCCTTTCTTCATATCCATTAATTTTGTTCCACTATCTTGTTACCACTCTGTGTTCTTCATGACTTTTCAAGTTCTGATTCCATGTCACTGATTTGATTTTCTATAGCAATAAAACTTGTGTGGAACTAATTGAAAATTTCACATTAGGGCAGAAAAAAAGACTTGAATACATAAGTGGGCATCCTTCTTGGATAGGGGGGTGATCTAATTTTGGCCATCTTTCTGAATTTAATCTGCCATATCAATGTGACATTAACCAAAATTCCAATTTAGATAGTGGTCAAGTACTCCCAAAGTTAGACTAAAGCAGATGGCAAAACTGCAGCATGCATACTGCAGCGGGCTATTGGTTATCACTGAAAACTCCAAAAATGTCACCATCAGTGGACTAAAAGTGAGGACCTGTCAATTTCCAGAGTGTAACAGGAGCATCATTACACAAGGGTGCACAGGGTAGGCCACTGGAAGTGCATCAGCTCCTTGGAGGAGACTGGAGACTGGGCACTATTATGGTGGGAGGGCAGTGATCACATGTTACCTTGGGGATTTCTCTGTAGGGGCAGCTTATCAACCCTTCCAGCTGCTGTCAAACAATGTTATTTGGTTTGATCAAAGGGTATCTGTAAGCTCTCAAGGAACACTGGTTTATTTTTTGCAAGCCTAGATTATAAAATTGTGACAAAGTTTAAACATATCTACTCTTTTAAAAAAATTTTATTGGTACATTTTAGGTTTACAATATAATGACATTCATCACTGGATATTTGGACCTTTGCACAATCTCTCTTGGTTCTTATTTTTCCCCATTCCCCTGCCCTCCGTTCAACCCCTCCATCCCTCCCTATTTACAAAGACTTTGTTTCCATTTTTTCATTTTCTCATATTAATTCCATTCTCTTCTTTCCTTTCCCCTACCCCTTCCACTTCCCCTTCCTGTTTGCCCCTTTTCTTCCTATTTCACATTATCTATTATACCTTTTAGCCCTTATTTACACTTTCAGTTTCTCACACCAGAGAAACAATTCCATATTTACATATGTGTCCTATTTATTTCACTTAAGAGTATCTCCTCAATATGCATCCATTTAGCCATAAATGTCTCTAATTTCTCATTCTTTATGGCCAAGTAGTACTCCACTTTATTTGAAAACCACATTTTCTTTATCCAGTTTCCAGTTGATGGGCATTTGGGCAGTTTCCAAGTTTTAGCTATTACAAATTGTGTTGCTATGAACATGGGTGCACATATATCACTGTGGTATGATTCTTTTAATTCTTTGGGGAAGATACCCAGCAGGGGAATAGCTGGGTCAAATGGAACTTCCAGTACTAGTTCTTTGAGTTATCTCCATGATGATTTCCTCTGCACTCCCCATAGCAGTGGAGAAGTGTTCCCTTTTCCCCACAGCCCTGCCAGCATTTGTTGTTGGTTAATTTCATGATAGCAGCCATTCTTTCCGGGGTGAGGTGGAATCTCAGTGTTGTTTTCATCTGCATCTCTCAAATGACAGTGATGTTGAACATTTTTTCATATGTTTATTTGCTATTTCTACTTCTTTGTCTGAGAAATGTCTGTTCATTTCAGATGCCCATTTTTGGAATGGGTCTTTAAATTTAGGTGGTCTGATTTTTGTAAGTTCTTTATATATTCTAGATAGTAGACCTTTGTCTAAGGAAAAGCTGGTAAAATTTTTTCCCACATCGTGGGTTTTCTCTTCACACTGTTGGTGGTTTCTCTTGCTGTGCAGAAGCTTTTTAATAAGAAGCTTTTTAATTTAACTTCTTTGGGCTAGGGATTTAGCTCAGTGGTTCCGCCTCCTGCCTCACAGGCGCAAGGTCCCGAGTTCGATTCCTGGTACCAAAAAAAAATTTAACTTCTTCATTTCCTATCTTTATTCCTTTTATTTCTTCTCTTGTCTAATTGCTGTGGCTAATGTTTCTAAAACTATATTGTACAGAAGTGGTGATAGTGGACATCCTTGTCTTGTTCCTGATTTTAGTGTGAAGGATTTCAGTTTTTGACCATTTAGTATGATACCAGCTGTTGGTTTTTCATAAATGGATTTTATCAGATTGAGGCAGAGACCCTCTATTCCAATTTCTTGTAGGGTTTTTATCATGAATGAGTGTTGGATTTTGTTGAATTTTTTTTTTTTGCATCTATTGAGATGATCATATGGTTTTTGTCCTTGGTTCTATTGATATAGTGTATTACATTTATTGATTTGCATATGATGAACCATCCTTGCATCTCTGGGATGAATCATACCTGATCAGGATGGATGATCTTCTTGATGATCTTCTGCATTCTGTTTGCCAGTATCATACTGAGAATTTTTCCATCTATGTTCATTAGTGAGATTGGCCTATAGTTCTCTTTTTTGGTTTGGTTTTTTTTTTTTTTTTGGTTTCAGGTTGATGCTTGCTTCCAGGAATGAATTTGGGAGTTTTGCTTCCCTTTCAATTTCATTGAACAGTTTAAACAGCAGTGGCAATAGTTCTTCTCTAAATGTCTTGTAGATTTCAGCAGTGAAGCCATCAGGACCTGGGCTTTTCTTAGTTGGTAAGTTTTTAATTACATTTTCAATTTTGTTGATTGATTTTGAGTTGTTTAGAATTTCTAGGTCTTCTTCGTTCAACTTTGTTAATTCATACGTAATCACACCTATTCTTAGTCTAGCCTACTTTTCAAGCTTCATCTCTTCCCAGGCCCCAAACAAATGGTGCATCCACATCCCTCAGTTATAAAAGACACTTAGGTGCCCAAGTAAGACTCCTGGGAGTCACTTCCAGCAGTTTTCTCTCCATTTTCAATCAATCACTGCTTGGAGCCAGTTTTGCTCTGAATCGATTTTTTTCCATCCCCACATTCATGTGCCCATTCCAGAACCCTGGAAAGCTCTTCCCTAGTAATTGCTCTGCCAACTTCATATATTCTTCCAGTCTCTGCTTGAGCAATGCTTCTAAGAGAGCCACCTCCCCCTCCATTTCTGCGGGGGGATCCTTCAGACACCTACCTACAGAGTGGCGTCTGCTCTCCTTGTGTCTGCATCACAGACAGACATCAGTCTTCTCCCTCTTCCAGACGTGGGAGGGATAGAGGAAAGCATCCTGCCTATCAGACTTTTTGTGCCTTCTCCCTCAGGCTTTTGCTCAGTCCGATATGGGCTGGCCCTCATCTTGCATCTTTGTAACTTTTCAATCTACACCCAACAAATGAATTTGAGCATCGCCATTACGGCTATGGTGAACCACACAGAGGCATCCAGCCAGCCCAACTCCTCCACAGAGCAGCCCTCGATGGACTCCCTGGGCTCCTGGAATGAAACCTTAAAGGAAGCAAAGGCACTGGTAAGTTTAATGAGACTCCAGATACTTTCTTTGATTCAAATGCTTTGATGTGAAGGGTTATCTTATATAAGAATAAGATCAATTTATCCAATAAACATCTATTGAGCATATACTATGTGCCAGGTAACAGCACAACAGCATGGTATATACTTAAGGGTATTTTAAAATTTGCTTGGTGTCTATGAGTATAGACAGGGGCTGAGTTAGAATGAAGGAAATGGTCTTTATCATTTAGTGGACATAAATTATTCTCCTGCAATGATGAAATTCAACAGAATTACCCAAATTTATGGTGAAATTCAACAGAATTACCCAAATTTGTAACTATTTTCTCTTCCTTTCTTCCAGATAATTTTAATGGGCTTGCTTATGTTGCGTCCTTCTTTTTAAATTTCTGTCTTCACAGATTCTCACATTTTAATGGATCAGCTAATTGTGTCAGGGTGACAGGAAAGAATGTGTTGGACACTTCCTTTTTGTCTTTTATGAAATTGGTATATTAAAGGATTTGGAGAGAAAAGGGGAAAATTGTCTTTTTTGGGGGGGGGCTTTTCAATCAAAAGTCCACTTCTTCACCAAAGATAAACAGTGAGGTTCTCTTCATTGTTCAGGCCCCTGTTTATGACTGGAGTCCTGAGATCCAGGGAGTCCTCCTCAGCTCTCTCAACTATGGCTCATTCTTGGCTCCGATCCCCACTGGCTATGTGGCTGGGATATTTGGAGCCAAGTATGTGGTTGGCGTTGGCTTGTTTGTTTCCTCAGTCCTGACACTCTTCCTTCCCCTGGCGGCTGATGCTGGATTGGCCTTGCTCATCGTCTTCCGGGTGATCCAAGGCATTGCCCAGGTACCAAGGTGTTTTCCAAGAATAAGTGGAATATTGGTTCCAGAATGATCTCCTATATCTAACAATGGAAATATTTCCCCTTCCAGGTTATGGTATTAACAGGTCAGTACTCAATTTGGGTCAGATGGGCTCCCCCACTGGAAAGGAGCCAACTCACCACCCTTGCTGGATCAGGTAACTGGTATCCTAATCTCATCTTTATACACCCTAGCTGTGAGTACTTAGCAGCAGCTTCTGAAGAGAGCTAAGACTTTGCATCCCAATTACTCTGTCTTCATAGTCCTTGCTCTAAGGTACTATCTTGCAGTCCTTGATCAGAACTGAATGCTAACTACACCCAAACATTCTTGTATTTTATACATGTTCATTTTCTTTTAGCCTCAGAACATTCTTATAAATAAAGTGTATATAATTGTTTCCATTTCACATGCAATTTGAGACACAAATAGACTAATAATTGCCCAAGATTATACAACTACTGAGTGAAGAAGCAGGACTTGTCCTAGATAGTCTGGATTGAAATTCATTCCTTCAATCACTGTGTAACAGCTTTGTAGGAAACACAGAGTTTGAAGACTGGCCCTCTTACCGGGAACATTCTTGCATCTTTTGTTTAGGGTCATTGCTGGGGACCTTTGTTGTCCTCCTTGTTGGTGGCCTCCTCTGCCAGACCATAGGATGGCCTTACATCTTTTATATCTTTGGTGAGTTTGTGTTTTTCAAATCTCAGAATTTTATTTTATGACAAAGTATGCTGGGCATGATTTCTGTGATACAACTCGTCTATGGCTAATCAACCCTTAATAGATACAGATGTTTACATAGCTAAAGTTGATGAGGTTCAAAGTTAATCATGCTGCGAACCTTCTTGGTTATAAAACAGTGTTTAAGTGTTAATAGCTCAAGTGTGCAGCTAGAATAATCTGTGACTTTAAGGGCATCATAATATTTCTTCCTGCTTCTAAATTGAAACTGAAGGGTCCTGAGGTAATTTCTTTCATAGGTTGTTGAAAATATTATCTTGGTAAGATGTATATTTACTCATGCTTATTTAATTAATACATTTTAAAAAGTTCTTATTTTGTAACAACAGTCAGAAAATTGTGTAGATGTGACCTAGGCAGAGATAAAATACTGTTTAGAGAGGAGAATCAACCAGTAGACTCTGCAAAACAGGGCAGACAATAAGAGCTCAATTGTGGACACAGTACTTGGAAAGGTGCTGCAGAAAGGTCCCAAAGGGACATAGAATGTTCCAGGAGCAATATTTTACTGCCTCACAATTTTACCTTCATCAAACTCTGGCTGGGATCTGCCCAGGTGATGTTAACTAGCGTTTGTGTGTTTGTTTGATATTTGAAACATTCTCTGATATCCCACCTGGAAATTGCCTGATTCCTTAGGATAAGCCCCATTAGGGTTTATGTTAGAAGATAGTCCTCTTAGATTGAGGGCTATCAATATATTCACCCCTCAACAATTTGTGAAGATTGATTACTGTAGCATATCAGCCTTCAAAGGTTGTCATGAAAACATCAAAAGGGCACATTACAGAAATTATTCAGCAGTGAGAGAGAGTTGCTGTGCTTGTGGTCTCAAGAAACATTAGGTAGAATATACAAAAAAGGAACTCACTAAATAGTTGTTGAATCAGTATTGATTCTCCACCCCCACTGTGCACCATTGCTATTGTTCATATCTATCCCTTTGCACTTCATTGAGTTCCTGGGTGACAAAAAAGTGTTTTTGTATTTTATATTCTCAACATTTAGCAATATGTCTGATATATAATGTCTGTGTGAGGAAATGTGTAAATGACAAGGTAGTCAAATGAAGTGAACTCTTTAAGTTTTTTGAGATTCTAAAAAGAAAATTTTAAGATGAGCCACATTGGCACCTATTACTGATAATGTTGAGTCCTTGGATAATGGTTATATTAGGAGAAATTTATTTGCTGAGGATTAATTTCACTTCATGTCCAGAAATTGTCTGGTTAATCAACTGCACATAAAATATACTACTACTAACTCTTAATGCTTTGAGAAAGATTAGAGATAGACATGGAAAGGCTTAAGAAGAAAGGAACTTTGCAGGAGCTTGACCAGGAGGAATGCTGGTTGATACATGGATAATGAGGGTATATTTGAATACATGGGGCAAACACACTAATAACTTGTAAAAATGCCTTATAGCCTTGATATGATAGTACATTTCACAACCTCTCCAAACTCAGTGGTTTAGAAGAGTAATTTTATTCTCAGAATTCTTTGGGACAGCTGAGTGGCTCTGGTCTGTGTGTGTCACCTGCCTTGGTTAATGGACCAGCTGGAGCAAGTTTCCCCCTTGACTATGGCCAAGGCCCCAGAGGACAAGTCAGGAAAAAGCAGTGCCTCTTACTGCCTGGGCTCAAGACTTCCCTATGCCATTGGCAGAAATGAGAAACATGGCCAAGGCCAAAGTCAGGTGGGGCCAAGTGCCCTGACTTCTTATGGGCCTTTCAAGGGTGCTGATGCAGAAAGGGGGGTTTAGTGTTGGCATCATTTTGTCAACCACAAGATTATCTGGGCACAGATACAAAATGAAAGAAAAACTCCAACCCAGTGCCAGCCAGGTATTCTTTGCCTAGGTGGAATTGGCTGTGCATGCTGCCTTCTCTGGTTTCCTCTGGTCTATAATGACCCTGGAAGTCATCCCTTCATCAGCACCAGTGAGAAGAGGTTCATTGTGTGCTCACTGGCTCAGCAGGTACATTGAGGAACTCTTCTACCATTTCCTTGTGTATGTCTGGGCATTGTGGAACTGAGAGTGTGGTAGAGCAGAGTCCTTGCTTTCTGATGGGAGCACATTGGCATGTACTTTCTTCCAGGACTGTTCTCCTGGGTGGTCTCTTCCCATTAAAGCTATGATCAAATCTCTACCACTTTGGGCCATTGTAGTCTCCTACTTCTGTGAATATTGGCTTTTCAACACCATAATGGCATACACCCCCACTTACATCAGCTCTGTACTTCAAGCCAGCCCCAAAGATGTAAGTACAGAAAAAAAGCTTATTCTGTTCTGTTTGACTGCATCATTATATAATACTGTCTTTCCCACTGTCCCCAAACCAGAAGATTAGACCAGGACCTCAGACAAGAAAAACAATCTGGTTAATTTGGATTCTGATTGATTTCAATATGGTTTACTGCTAACTAGGAGGGTTCTAAGTTGTATGATATTTATAAAATGTCATTTTAAAGAGACTTGTGTGAAAATTTTATACTTGATTCCAATCAAAATTGACAAACAAGATAGTCCATCAGCAACATAAACTACAGGGGATTAGGAAAACAAATTCTGCCCTGGAAAACATGGTGACAAGGAAGCATGAACAGCAGATGCTGAAATTAACACATTATTAATAGGACCTAAAGTCCTAAGTAGTTATATAAAATATTTGTGGACTTAAAAAATATTTCATTCAAGTATGTTTCTAGCTCTCTGAATTATCTCTAAATGAGTGGATACTGTGATTGGCTAATGGGAGCCCTCTCAATTCCTGCCAGCTGGAGGTCTTGAGAGTGGTGACTATCACATGTCATAGCCTGTTAGTGACAGATCACAAGGCCCTTGATGACCCTGTACTGAAGGGGCAGGCTTCTCACACTGAGGGCACCTCTTAGTGGCCAGGGGAGGGGTAACCTGTTCAGTGGGGGTCAAGGTCTGGGGAATAGTCATGCAAACAGGCACCAGGACCAAACAGCTTGGGAAGGAGCAATTCCAAGTCCTCTCAAAGAGGGGTGCCGGAAGTAGGCAGTGAAACCACGCATTGCGGGGCAGGAGGACCAGGCAAGTTGGAATGATTCAACTCTGGTGTGAGACTGAGTGGGAAGACCAAGAGTAAAGAGGGGAAGTGGGGAGAACAAAGAGGAAGACAAATGTGATGGGACAGCAGAGCTTCCCTGCTCAGAAGTCAAGACCTGGGCTGCTCGAACTCTCAGCCACTCCCCATTAGTCAGGGTCCTTGCTAGTCTTGGTTTATTCATCTGTGAAATGAGCCATCGGTACCAGGTGGAAGCTAAGTCCTTCCCATTATCTGGATTATGGATAACAAAGGATAGTCTCCTTCTCCTTACATTTGCTTGAATAGAATTTTAACCTGAGGTCAGAGTGATAACAAGGTACAATATTTTAAAAACTATATAAAATACAAAGAGTGAAAAATCTTACTTCCATTCCTATTCCTAACCTACTCCATTCTCCAGGCCCACTCCATAGACAGTACATGCTGTATATTCTGCTATGCTTTATATACTAGCTTTTTTTTCAAGCCATTTAATATATCATGGGAATATGTTTTTATCACTCCATGAGAACCTTACTGAGAAATATTTAGGTTGCTTTTAGTCTCTGAGCAGTGCTTCGGTGGAAGCTTGGTTTGTTAGGTGCTTATGCCACTGTTTCTGTAGAGTTGATTTCTGCATATCAGATTGTGAAATCAAAGTGTAAACACACTCTGAACTTTTATACTTATTGTCCAATTGCTTTCCCTAGGGCACAAATGGGATTTTTTGGAACCTAATTCTCCACAGTGTCATCACTGGGCATGTTAAAAAGCATTTGGAGTTTTGACCCCTGAAAAGTAACGTTCACTGAAGTTTTATTTTGCATTTGTTGTATTATAAGTGAGATTAGGCACCCTTTAACATGCTTAGAGTTAACTTATTTTTCTGTAACTTGTGTATATCTTTTATCTATTTTTCTGCTGGGCTTTGGTCTTTTAATATCTATTTCAAGGTGATCCTTACATGAAAGGAAAGCACTATTAACTTTTTAATACTTTTTTTTCAAATTGAGCCATATGCATATTTTGCCCATGAACTAAACTTGTATTGGCTCATTCCAGTAAGATGGGATGGACATTAAAAGTGAGGTGTGTGCAGAGAAGGGCTGTGGGTGAGGTCAGTTGCCCAGGAGTTCATCTGCATCCTGGTGGGTGCAGAGGGTGCGCGCGCTCACCTCCTTTCCAATCTTCAGAGTGGGATCCTCTCGGCGCTGCCATTTCTTGTTGGTTGTATCTCCATTGTCCTTGGAGGCCTATTGGCAGATTTTCTTCTCTCCAGAAAAGTCCTCAGACTCATCATCATCAGGAAAGTCTTTTCTGCCACAGGTAATGGCCCAGCTGGGTGCAGGGTGGATGTGGGTGGCTCAGGGAGCTTCTTAACTATTCTCTCCGTCCTTTTGCCACAGGGGTTTTCTTCTCATCCATGTTCTTAGTGCCTCTGCCTTGGGTCAGATCCAGCCAAGGTGCCACCATGGCCTTCTTGGTTCTTTCTGCTGCTTCTAGCAGCTTCTGTGAATCAGGAGCCCTTGTTAACTTCTTGGATATTGCTCCTCGGTAAGGACCACATTGTCTCATCTGCACAAAGCCTCAGTTCAGGTGCAGCAGCCCTAAGCCTGCTCTGATGCACAAGTCAAGTATGGCATGTGCCACAGACTATGGGAAACATTACCATTACTTTTACATGCAAAGAGCTCTTCGAAGGCAACCTGAGCTGTTATCCATGGTAATGCAAGCAAGAGTAGTCTGTGGCCATGCTGACAGCTCCACTGGGGGAGATGCACATATCCCTCTGTCTTTTGGGATGGAGCAGTCACTCAGGGTTCATCCCTGAAAGGTTTGTGACACCCTACAGAGTAGGCCCATGTAAGGCTCTCATAAAGTGGAAGGGCACCATACCATAGGAGAAATAGTTTCTACTGACATAGGAAATACCATAGGGGACTGAGACTTTCAGACATACCTCCTAGGATCCTGGGAGTGAACAGCACTCATTCATCTCCAGATGATGAACCACAAGTTTCATGGGAGATCTGTTGGTTTCAGGGAGTCAACATCCATTCCAGTGAAGACTCTTTTATATGTAAGGTGGAGACTTTTATATTCCAAAACAAGGCTACAGAATCAGGCTTAATAGGAACCAAGAAAATAAATAAAAATATATAAACCAAATGCAAATCGCTAGTCTTCACATTCCATATAAACAATGTTGACAAGTTAGCATAGGTCACCTCTTGGAAATCTCAGATCCCAGCAGAGGATTTTTACAAACAATTAATAAGCACCATTCATTCAAGCTTGCCTAAGATGAGCACAGTTCCAGGTGTCCCCACAGCTAAGCACAGACTTACAGTGAGCCAGCTGAGATGAATCCTTTGCTTGCAAGGAGGTGTCTCTTGTCCCCTACCTCTCCCTCTCTCCTAGGTATGCTGGCTTCCTCAAGGGACTATTGCAAGTCTTTGCACACATATCTGGAGCCATCTCTCCCACTGTTGCTGGAGTTTTCATCAGTCAGGTGAGATCAAATGTTCTGATGAATATTTATAAGAGAAACCTATAGAGGTTAGCAGAAGTCGGACTAGGTATTTTTGTTCCCTCCTCAATGGCTGAACTCATAACTCATGAATCTCAAGCACTCAAAAGCCCTTGTCCCCAGCCTAGGCTCAGCCTGTGCAGGGAAATTACCATGTGCTTGGGGTGCGGACTGAACAAGAATGCTCTAGGTTATCAGATTATGCTTTGCTAAGTCTTGTAAAATGATATTCTTACACCAGCAACCAAAATTTCAGTAATAATCATGGCATTTCTCCTGAAGTATGTAGGGGTCAACCATCCTGGTTTGCCTGAGTCTGAGGGCCCTCTCAGAATGTGAGCCTTTTGGGTTAAAACCTAACCAGGATGAATGGCTGCTCCATATAGGAACCCAGCAAAAGTTTGCAGAATGTGTGAGCAAGATGCTGAGTGAGTGACAGAATGAGGAGCAACCTGCACCTTCCAGGAATGCTCAGGATGGGCAGGGCAGACAATGCTTCTGCTCATAATGCTCACAATGTGTTTTCACCTTTGTGCACCCTTGGAGATGCATTTAAAGTCATCACAATAAACTGCTGCCTAAGAATCTTACTGGTACAGACTTTTGATGTCTGCCATATTCTCTTTAATGCTCCTATGGTTTTCTACCAGTAAGTTAGGAAAGTGAGTGAGAACAAATGCAGCATAAGTGTATTCTTTATGAAATTAAATCCCTATTTGTTTCTTATCCTTCAATTCCTTTCTAGCCACTGAGTAAGACACTGGCAGGAAATGGTGTTTAAAATGAAAATTTTCAAGTTGACCTCACCTCTCCTGTCACTGGTTGATTGGTTGATTCATTCATCCATTTATTCAATATGTATAGAACATTAGTACGTGCCATGCATTAAGTGAATAAAACAAAAGTTTCTCTGCTTGTGAAACTTATATTGTAGGAAAGAAACACATAGCAAACTAAGGAACTATGCAAAATATGATATATTTGGTGGTCGCAAATGCTAAGAGAATCAGGAACAGGTCATATTAGAGGAGGGGGAATTTCAGCTTAATGCAGTGGGAAAAGCACACAGGAAAGGGAATATTTAAGCAAAGGCTGAAGAAATGAGGGAAGGAGCCTACCATTTAGGGGATACCTAGGGTCCCAGGAAGCTGGAGTAGAGTTGGGAGGGAGCACTAGGACATAGAACCCTAGTCTTTCTGAACCAGGAAGGGATGAGAATTAAGTGACCACTACTAACTTGTAGTTTCCTGCCTTCAGGATTCAAATGCAGAATTTGGATGGAGAAATGTCTTCTTGGTTGCAGCTGCTATTGATATAGTGGGGCTGATCTTCTACCTCATTTTTGCCAGAGCAGAAGTGCAGGATTGGGCGAAAGAGGAGGCACTCACCCACTTCTGAGCCCATGGAGTGCTATGTGAAGTCCCAGCGCTTGCTAGTTCACTACTTTTCCTCACAGCTTTGACCTTTGGGGTCTGCTTGACTGATACACCATTTAACTGGAATTGGTTTTCTTTCCAGTATCTTCTCAGAAACCTTGGCTATTTAATATAGAAAGTTTTACAAAGATTGAACATTTTTTATAGGAGAAAAAAAGGCTCATTATTTGACTGTGAACTCCTGAAATCATAGATACATGTGAATTTCTCAATGTCTTCCATGCTTCTCACTGTTACACTGAAAAAAGCATCAAGTGCTGGGGGACATTTTCTCACCAAAGTAGAACAGAAAGCAGAACCATAGCAATGAGGTTGGAAATTACCAGGGAAGTGAGGCCCAAACATCAGAAGATGAACCTAAGAACTTTCATCAAAAGAAAGCCAGAGGCCATTGAAAGCAGAGCGTCTCCACCCCAAGTCCTGGGCCAGGAGCCCCTGCTCCAAGGCTAAGTGGCTCTTACATGCCTGAGGAGGGAAATAGGACACTCCAGGCTTGGAAGGTGGGCAAGGTGCCTCCCTGAACACTGACAAGTAAGAAGAACAATAAAGAGTGAACCCTCTGGGACAAGAGGAATGAATTCTTCTCCAACTTCTCCAACTAATGCACATGGGGTAGTTGACTTCTCCTCTCCCAAGAAGCTCACCCTGCTAGGTGCTGGCTTTGGGCCAGTGCCCTACCTGTACCCCAGCACTTCCCAGAGTTGGCTCTTCTAGAGTTGCCTTCTCTCTGGTTATCTGACGTAGGCCCCACATCTGCTTGGCAGGTCTGTGCAGATACCTGTGCATCTTAGTGAGCAAACTGTGTAGTTTCTCTCTTGTCTCCATGAACATTTCTTCAGGGGATCACGCCTGTCTCAGACACCCCTTGTCTGCTTCTCTGACTCTTGGGGTCTTTCCCACCACTCAGTGGGCCTCATTCAATATTCACTTCATGAGCCCAAAAGGTCTATGGAAATGTACGTAAGACCAAGGCTGCTTGACTCCATTGTAAATGTTCAGAGAGTATGTAGGGTATGCCTGCTTTCAAGGAAGAGAGCAAAAATGTTCAAACACTAAATGAATGTTAATGAATATGTTAATGCTCCTGGGAGCATAGCAGAAATCAAAATCACACAGCTTAAAGAAGCTCAACATCTTGGGAGGGCAGACACCTTTAACCAGAGTATCCTGGCTGTGTAATGATAGCTATGGAGAGCAGAATAATGGGGTATGACGTGTTAAAAGGTGCACTAACTGGAGGGTGAGTCAGGGCCACCACTTTGAAGTGCCTTTCTGAGTTGGGATCTGAAGGACAACAGTACCTGGTGCAGGAGGGGAAGAGGGCGAATGATATAGGAAGAAGGCATGGCCAAAGCAAAGGTTTGGTGGCAGAAAAGGCAGTCAAGAGTGGCCAGAAGGCAGAGAATAAGAGAAACAGGGCTTGGGAGAAGCTGTAGAAGCATTAAGGTCAAGAATACACAGCGGACAGTGGGCCCAGAGAAGGAAGGGACATAACCAGGGTTTTGTTTTTGTTTTATTTTGTATTTTTGGTACCGGGATTGAACTCAGGACCTTCAGCTTGTGAGGCAGGCAATGGCACCACTGGGCTAAATCCTGGGTCCCTAGGGTTTTCTTTTTTAAAGTTTCTCTGCATGAGGGACTGGGATGGAGTAGGGGTTTGTGGTGTTGTCCAGGAAAGAGTGATGGCTGTTGGCATGAGGGGCAGGATGTGGTGAGAGGAGAGTGAATTACTTGCTTTAGGAGACAAACCTGAAAAGACTCTAATACTGAGAGCAGAAGATATCTAGAGAGACACATGGGTTTTGTCTGCTGCTAGATCCATGGTGGTTCTCAGGAGGTTAGCAATCATACCACAGTGAAGATCACAAGAAGGAAAATGGCCACACAGGTCTGGACTTCACTTTTGAGATCTGGGTTCCAGTTAGAAATTTAGGAATCATCTAGATGGAGGTTGTGATTAACGTTTTTAGTATGAATGAGGTTGTCTAAGGGACAAAATGTCATAAAGAGGCAAAACCTGAAAGCTTGAGAACAATCCTTCCAGGACTTTAATATTTAATGGTCAGCTAGAGGGTGATCAGAGAAGGAAGGAAGAAAGGAAGGAAGGAAGAAAAGAAGGACAAAGGAAAGGAGGGATGGAAGAAGGGAAAGTTAGAAGGAAAAGCAAGAGAACGTGGTACTAAGGGAAAGAAAAAGAGAATGTGTTTCAAAAGGGCAAATAGTCATTGATGTGAAATCTTGAGATCAGGCCATATGGGAGATGAGGAGAGGAGAAAGGAGAGCACTGCTGAGAAATCTGGGAGTGGAGGGAGGAAAGAGATGATAAAGTAGCTGCAGAGGGGTACCGGAAAAGGAAAGAGTTTAAACACTTGTGTTTAAATCCTATGAGAAGGAGTTAGTGAAGAGAGAAAAGTTGCATGTGGAAAAGAAAAACCTTGAGCAAAAGTTGCTGAGAAAAACACAGGCGAGGTGTGTTGAGACCTGAGGTCCAGTTAGATGGAATGGGGACAGCTTCTGCCTTTTCCCTGACTCTTCAAGGTCCTGTCAAGGTCCATCCACAAGAGATCCAGGGAGTGGTTTGTTTGTGTTTTTCCTCCTACTTGGAAGAGGGGTGTAGGCACTGCCAGTGTGTGCCATAAGTGCTCTGGCCAGATAGGAGGAGAGTGATCTGGTAGAGATCCCCAGCAGGTTAGTGGTGGCCTGCAGGGTGGTGGGCTCCAGATGGCACAACAAACACTTGGATTGTTCCTCCCCCGCTACACTGACAAGCTTCCTCTACCCAGTTTGAATGTAAACTTGGATAGAGTTCAGGAACTATGCCATGAAGTATTTGGCAACATCTTAAACACAGGAATGGTTTAAGTAATACAATGGTATTGTATCCACAGTAAATGCCAATAAATGCTTGTTGAGTCACCCTGTGGATCAATGAATAAAACAACTGGGGTGGTACTGGAGACTCCAAAGGTACAAATGGGTAGGAAGAAAAGGACCCTACTTCGATGCAAATTTTCTTTAATTAACTTGTTTTTAGAAAACAGAATTACCTAAACCCATGGACACTTTTTCTTCCTCACCTGGTACTAAGATACCAAGAGACCATACCTGGTGAGCTCAGAGCCTACCCTAGGTCTCACCACTGATTATGCAGGTGTGGTTCTCTACAGAAGAGCATCTTGTCTATTTCTGAGCATTTATTCCCCTCTTTTCCTTCCCTGGACTCTTTTTCATTTCTCATCTGTCACCTTTGGTTGCTTTTGAAAACAAGTTGATTTCTCCTTGAGCCCACTAAGTAGGTTGGGATTAACATTTTTAGCATGAATGAGATTGACTTTTCCTCTAAATGGGCCGTCCTGAAAATACAGAGAGCTAAGATTTTCCATCAGTCCACCTATCAACAATGAGGGGGAGTGAAAGCTGAACACTGTGCGAAAGGTCATTCATGATGTGTTAGAATAAAATTTTATCATATGATTGTTTATTGGCTTATTTAACAAAGAAGAAGATAGAAAGATGAAGACAGATAAATAAAATCACTTTTGAAACTGAGACATGTAACATGTCACAAGCAACACATGCTTCAACTGAGAAGCACACACAGCCTGTGTAGGGGGGAGGTGGGCCCAGGAGTTTCTGTTTCACCTTCTTCCTGTGCCGGTGATGACCCTGCAGCCTGGCCCCCTGTGCTGGTCCCTCATCTCTCCACTAGGCAGGCCACTCTCAGGCTCTCCAGGTGCTCGACTTCATAATGAGTTTTCTACAAAAAAAAAAAAAGAAATGCATCAAAATGTCATCAGTGAGTCTTCATTCAAAGAGCATAAGAAAGTGTTTCAGCATTTCAAAGGGATGGTCTTGTCTATTTTTCTCAAGCTGTCTTTTTTATCCTGTGATAGCTTACCCTAAGCAGTTTTTACGCTTTTTGACAGAAAAATAAAAATGTCAACTCTTGCTACTTGCATTCAACATTGGTTCTACTGGTTCTAAGTAGAACAATTAGATAAGAAAAAAAATAAATGGCATCCAGATTGGAAACTAAAGTAAAATTATCTGGATTCACAGGCAACAAACTCATTTATGTAGAAATTCTAAGGAATACATTACAAAGCTATTAGAACAAATAAGTTTAACAAAGCTGCAGAACACAAGATCAAAGGAAAGGAAAAATTATGAAAAAGGAAAAAAAAATTGGAAACAAAGTCTATGTAAATAGGGAAGGGTGGTGGGGGTGAAGGGTGCATAGGTAATGGGGGAAAAATAAGAACTAAGATACATCATGTTCAGGTACAAACACCCAATGATAAATGTAAATGTGTTGTATACCTAAAATGTACCAATTAATATATATATATATAAAAAAAAATCAATTGTATGTATATACTTGCAATGAGCAATCCAAATATTAGAACGAGAAAAAATTCCAGTAGCACAAAAACTAAATACCACAAATAATTTCAATAAAAGAAGTCCAAAACTTATACTCTAAAACTTCAAAATACTGTTGAAAGAAATTAAAGAATATATCTTAGTCTGCTGAGGCTGGCTACAACAAAATACCATTACCTCACACCATTTATAAAAACTCAAAATGAAATACCTAAATACAAGAGCTAAAACTTAGAAGAAAGCTTAGGAGTAAATCTTCATGACTTTGGGTTTGGGAAGGGATTTTTCTCTTTTTCAGATTCACTTATTTGTTTTATAAGCCCTTATCAAGCTAATTATCACAAACAGATTAACAGCCAGACTAACAAGGCAAAAACCATATAAAACACAATCATACTAAACCAAGGTACACTTTTAGATACATTGGCCATGCTGGATTACAATAACTTTTTTTCTCTCTATTGCCATGGTTTCTTAGATATGACATCAAAGAAACATGAAATAAAATATAAATAAATTGGATTTCATAAAAATTAAATAGGTGTGTTCATTAAAGAAAATAAAAAGACAACTACAGAAGAAACTATTTGCAAATCACATATCTGATAAGGAACTATGGTCTACAATACATAAAGAACTCTGAACTCAGAAACAAAAAGACAACCTAAATAAAAATGTGCAAAAGCTCTAAACAGACATACTAACAGTGTCATTTTCTGAAGCGCCATGACTTTTGATTTTACATGTGTAGAGTACCGATCATTTATGTCCAATCATCTTTCTTCACGCCTTAAGCCACTCCAAATATCCAAACCCTGTCCTTGGGGAGAGGGATTTGAGACTTGGGTCACCCCCTCCATATTTGGCAGCCTTGAACATGATCTCTTTCTCTTTTGTAAGACTCATTGTTTCACAAAGTCTTTGTAAATAGGGAGGAATGGAGGGCAGGGGAAGGGGGAAAAAATAAGAACCAAGAGACTATGTAAAGGTGCATATCTCCAATGATGAATGTCATTATATTGTACAACTAAAATGTACCAATAAATGGATATACCAAAAAAAAGACTCATTGTTTCTGCTATTGGGCACACTAGTTAGTGGGCAAAACAGGCCTGTTTCAGTTTGACAACACAATAAAATCTATAAATGAACTAAGGACATTAAAATGAAACCATGAATAGTCTACAGTCTAGACTAGAAGGAAGTATCTATATTTATGCACTTCCTCTTTCTTCCAGCTCCATGTGAGCTCACATCTCTTGTATGGTTTGGTTGACAAAGCCAGTTTAAAAAACAACAGGATATTAAATTACTATCATCGTCCCAAGTTTCTTCTCTGTCCCTGGGCCACGGGGCTGTGATGTGTCAGAGGAAGAAGCCACAGGTTTGGGAAATGACTGAGCTGACTTGTAAGTTCAGCAATGTGGGATCCTTCCCTACTCCTACAACTGTGTTCATGTGGCTTCATGGAAGGTCAGAGCTGTACATTCTATTTCTCTTTACAGACCCAAACACTTTTGCCCAAATCTACTGATGATAAAATCCACTTAGATCAGTATATCATATACAAACACTTAAGACAATTTAAGAACACAAGATTATTATTTTATTTCTATAACTTGTAATCAAATTAAGTTTTTGTATCCTCATTATATAAGCTACTGAACGGACTTACTCCAGCACAATAGATACTCTGACAACAACAGGATCCACAAGTTCTCATAGTGTTTCAGTAAAGAAAGTTCACCTCATCCTCCCACACAGCAACAATGACAGAGACAATCACACAGCATGAAGTCACATGCTGGGATCTGAATGATATATGTGCTGTGATTATGTCTCAGCATCTCAGAATTCAGCAACTGCCAAGCCCAGAGTTCAACTCACTGACTTCTGTGTCACTTGGCATCTCACATGAATTTCACACCAGACAGATTTTGCTCCTTCCCTGCACACGTTCAGCCTTAGGCTTCCTGAGATCCCCTTCCTTTGGTTTTCTTTTTATCTTTCTGGCCCATCTTGTTTCCTTTTGTTTGTACCTTCTCTATCACCTCTCTAAATGTTGGCATATGCTAGGACTCTGAACTGGGTCCTCCTTTTTTGTGTACAGACTTTTCTCCAGGGTATCCCAACTACATGCTGATCTTCCCAGAACACTTATCTCCTATTTGAACCTGTCAACTGTGTTCTAGACTTGTATGCTGACCTGTCCCCTGGTTAAGACTCCCCATTAGCATCTTTAACTCAACATGTATAAAACCTCACCCCAGCCTTCCACCCTGACAAATCATCCCTTTTTTGTTAAAGTCAATATCTAGGTCCCATGCTTGATTTTTCTCCTGCCTGCACTCTCTCTTACCTGCCCAGCTCTCCTTCCAGGGGACACTGGAATCTGACTGCTTCTCTGTCTCCTCTGCCTGCATCTTAGCCTATACTATCACTCACTTGAACTTCAAAATCAGCCTTTATCCTGGTTTCTCTGCCTCTACTCTTGTCTCCAGGGAGTCCTTTCTCTAAATGTGGCCAGAGTATCTTTATAAAACACTAATCAGGCAAGTAATTCTTCTCTTCAAAAGCATCTCATAGCTTTGATTGCAGACAAATGAATTAAACCAAACTCTTACCTTAATGTGCTAGCCCTGAAGGATCTGGAACATAATCACTTCCAAATCTCCTCTTTCTTCATTTATCAGCTATAATTCCTCTATTCGCTCTTCTAGGTGTAACCAAACTCACTCCAACCTCAAATTCTTTTCCTTGGTTATTTTAAGCTTGAAACATTTCCATGGATCTTAATATAGTCCTCATCACTGAAGTGTTAACGCAAATGTCCTCTTCTGACCTCCAACCAAAGCATGTGAACACTCTCTATCATGTCATTCTATTTCATGTTTTTCATATATGTCACTGTCTGGAATTATTTCAACTTTTAAAATATGGCTATTCATAATCCCCCGCCCAAACTGTAAAGGTCTTTTAGGCAGAAGACCTGATGATGTTGGTCACTGCTTTATCTTAACACCTATAAAAGTGCTTAAAATATTTACTTCCTATCTGATTGACTACTGGAAAGCAGGGGCTCTTAATTTTGGCTGTGTGAATTTACATAGAAAAAGAGAAAAACCATATCTTCATTTCCCTTACCTCTGACTGAAATCTAACACTTCCTCCCATTATGAAGATAGGCAAGAAGTGAGGGCTGACCTCTTTGATACCAATAGAAATAAATCATGGATTTTTCTTATGACATCATAACTATCACCAATATCTCCAAATGTATTGTTTTCTACAACACTGCTTTGCCAGTGGTACTTTAAAGAAGAAGCAAATGTTAACATAAATTTGTTTTTTAATATCTTTGAAACAGGGAAAGAGGTCAACCTTCTCTTTTCCTCTGGAGCAGGGGCACTGTGCTTCTGCAGACAGCTATCAATCCCTCCTCATTGACTCCTAAGGGTGACCTGGGACACCTGGGCCCAAGGTCTTCCCCAAACCCTGTGGTGGTCTCAGACATCCTCTAGGCTGAAGGGAGCCAGAGCTGACAGCCACACCTTCCTGCTGCTGGGTCAGGTGCTGCAGCCTCTGAGGAGTGAGATGGGAGAGACAGGGAGGGACAAGCCGGCCACTGCTGTCATCCCTCAAGTCTCCAAACCTCCAAGGGCCATGATCAACACTACTTTCCCTCTTGGGAGCCCCCTGGAAGCTGTAGTAGTCATGTCTTCAATTTCAGAGGAAAACGCAGCAGCTATCGATGAAGTTGCAGTTTCTCTGCAATCCCCTAGACTGTCACCATGATGGCTATCGTATGCTAGAAGCTCCTCTGCTAAGCATCTGCCTTGGCCACAGCACACTTCAGATGGGAACTTATCTTAGATGACTCTGCCCAACAACCACTGCAGGTGACTCTGCTCTGTAACTCAGGTGACCCTGCCTCCTCTGCGACTGCTTTAATCATCCCCAAACAGGTCCACAAAATGCAGGAGACTGTGCAAACATAGCCCCTCCTTCTCCATACAAGCAGCAGTCTCTCATGTTTCCTGGATTAGCTCTGAAGAGGAGCTCCAGAGCAGCAAAGAGCCAAGAGCAGCAGTGGAGACCTTCACAGACCCGTGGAAACCTGTATAAGACCCCAGAAAGGCAGTATAAGCTACTGGAAGAGCTTCAAAGAACTGCAAGGGGGCCATGAGCTTTGGCTGCTGTGGAGACAGGGGCAGCTGCAGCTGACAAGAGCTGTAAGACTAAGAGATATTGCACTAAGAACTAAGAGGTGCTGTAACTCTAAGGGCCAAGAGCCACTGACACTCAAAGTTCATAGGCTCTAACAACAAGGGAGCTGTATTTTACCAGTTCATAATTTCTATCTGAATTGAGCATAAGAACACCTAGCTGACTGGTGATGTCTTGATAACTATTTCAGCATAATATTAATCTCTCAAGAATATCTGCATTAGTTTCAGTCCAATACATGAAAAGAAGTTGAGAAACTATGCTACAAGGTGAAATTCCACAGACAGAATGCATACCCCTTTATACAGATATTTTCCCTGGAATAAAAAAAGCAAAAAATAGAATATTGCAAAATGTAGGGAACTGTGTCACATAAAAACCAACACTGAACCCAAAATTAGTGGTAACCTGTTGTCCTGCTATGCTACTTGCCTGCAAATGTTAAAGCTTATATGCTGATAATCACATGCTCCAAGCTGCTGATGAATGAGTCATCACATATTTGGCAAGGAAACTCCAGTCCAACTTGATGTGGTTGGGACGTCATGCTGACACTCCAGACCACCTTGGGCTTGAGACACTCTTGTTGCAATGATGGAAAGCACACCCACTGTGCCAAGACAGATATGACTATGCCCCAATTAGGGAAGAAAAGAGATAATACTCCAGTTTCAGAAATCACCCTATTCCATAAGCAGGTCTGATGAGAGCATGTACCACATCCTCCATAACTATTCTTAGTAAAACTCCAGACCTGCTGAGAGAAGGTAGCGTTAGAGTGTAAGCTCCCCTTGTCCATTCATTAGCCATTGAGGATAATTTCCTGCTTCCTCCTAGGATTGTTCAGTTATTTGCCAATAGTGTTGAGTAGGAAAAGAAACTTCAGACTTAGTAATTGAAGGACTATTTGTAAAATTATAAACACTAAAGATCAATTGAAAAAGTGACATTGGAAGTCAACCCACAGATGCTTACCATGGGGATGTCTAATAGTTTCAGATTTAATGTGGTCCTTTTTTCTCCCCAAACCTGAACCTGTCGAGTTTCCATGTTCTCCATGTCGAGTTTCATCATTAAACCCTCTCTCTCCTGCATCCACAATTTCAAAAACTGTCCTTAACTTGATCACTTCTCACCTTCAAAGTCGGGTCTCTTGGCTTTCTTTAGCCCAATCCTGAATTTCTGCTTTAGCAAATATAAGGTAAAAAATTAGAGCTAACATATTAATGGCTGACATCAAGAAGTAGATTTTATACCAAGAAGTTTCTGGATCCTGAAAGATTAAAATGCAAAGAAATCGTAAATTACTGATACTATTTTTGTGTTTTGCAACATTTAAAACATAGTATCAAAAATAATATAAACTCAATGTAAGTCACTTAAACATGGAAAAACACTCATAAATAACCAAAAGAGTCATTATTTATTTTTTTCCCTATTAAGTTTATTGGTGAATTTTAGGTATAAAATACAGTTGCATTCATCATTGGGATCTTGTACCATTACATGAGTATCTTGGTTCTTATTTTTTTCCCCATTCCCCTCCCCTCCCTTCACCCCCTTCACCCTTCCCTATTCACAAAGACTTTGTTTCCATTTTTTTCCTTTTCTCATATTTTTTCTTTTCCCTTCTTTCCTTTCCCCTACCCCTCCCACTTCCCCTGCTCCTTTAGACCCAAAAGAGTCATTATTTCACTCCACAAAAATAATTACTTTTATCTCGCTATATTCCATTTTCCTCAGATATTTTTAATACATTAGTTTCTTGTAGTACCTAATTATTTGATTCATCTTTTTTCTATTCTGATATATTATTTCAAAACTTTATGCAGTTTTTAAAGTATGTTATATACAAATATAGCATTGTATCATATAAGCATATATATATATATATATAGATAGGTAGGTAGAGAGAAAACATGAGTGTTTATATACTCACTAGCAAATTTAACCTATTTCCATGTACCTTAATTATTACTTTGTTAAGATTTATTATTCTCATATTAGTTCATATTTTCCAGGGCAGTGTTCTTATACCAATTTGAGCAAACATTCTAGTTTTTCTTCTTCAACAGCCTCTTGGTTATTCTTGGGCCTTAGTGAATACATATCAGTTTTGTAAGTTGTATAGTCTTTCTATTTCCACAAAAATAACTTAGATTTTCTTTGGGATTGCATTGAATCTTCAGATCATTCAGAGATTGGAAGAAATTTTACAATTTTGAATCTTTTAATATATGTAGTCTTCTGATTGCCTTTGAATACCTCTTATTAAAAGTGCTGATTTTATTTCTTCTTTTTACATTCCTATTTTTCATATATTTGTGCTTTATTTCACTAGGTAAGACATAGTGCAAAGTTTAATAAAAATAATGATAGCTGTATCTTTTTCTTATTCCCAAACTCAAAAGGAAAATGTCTTATGTTGCACAAAGGTGCACAGTATTTGCTGCAGGACTTCTGTAGCTACTCCTGAGTCATATCAAGGGATAGCCTAATTTCCTGGGTATAGTTCCATCTTGTCCTAACCTAGGCTCTAAAGCCTAAATGCCCTGTTGGCTTTCTGAGGTTGTGAGTTGCTCTGTTTAACTTCTCCATTTCTCATCTGCTTACACTGGAGAGACTTGTAAGGGAAAAGCCACTTCCATTCCAATGACTGATGACCTAGGTTTTCAGAACTAACTTACAAACAGAAAAGAGAAAGAAATTGCATTACTTGTAGATTTGGAGGATGCCCGATTTGACCAAATTCATTTTCATATGACACAAAATCTCATATTCACTTCCTGCTGGCATCTCCTGTACAAGTTTTCACATGTTATTCTGTACAATTAATAATGGGAAACATATACATGTCTCCCTGTTCCTTACCTCATTAAGGATTAATCCAGTCACAGTTGAAGAAAGTATGCCTCCTACCATTCCAATTACAGATGAAACTCCTTTAAGAAATCCATAAAATCTGTAAAAGAAGAGGAATTTGTAGATTTACAGTAGGACAAATGCTGCAGGAAAAGCCAACTTAATCAAATGAGGTTTAAGAGAGATAACTGCTGACTTCATGAATCATCATTCCTACTTCTTGAATTCTATCAAAATGACAGAAAATGTATGTTAATATAAGCAACTTTCTAGTTGCACTACAGAGTCAGAAAGGTTGACATTATGAGTAAAAAATATAAAAATATTAAGAAAATGAGACCATAAAGTGAAAGCCAGCAGAATACATTTGATCTTAGCCAAAAGGCCGAGAAGTGATGAAAGCCAACAGAATAAAGAAAGCAATACAGTTGAGAAATTTGGAAGGTGATACCTATTGGCAATGAGAACTAGTTTCAGATTAATGAAAAATTGAATAAAGTCCCCTGGGTCTAAATCCATGTCCCAGAGCTGTGACTTCAAGAATTGTACCTAATAGTTAGGACAGGGAATGAGAAGTCTATTTGATTAAGTAATATGATTAGCTAATCCTTAATGCTCAAGCCAACTTCAGCAGGAAGAGAGCTAGAAAAGCAGGACAGCCAAGAGACTAACAGATAAAAAGGGGCCATTTCCATCAGACATGAAGAACAAAGAAGAGCCTTTGCGAGAGCAGAGTCAGTGTCTAATTGAGACATGAACATCATGCCGAGAAGGGCAAAATCTCCCCTTTACCCTAGCTTGTTACCTGGGAGAGAAACAAACTTCTATTGTACTTTATACTTTTATTTTGTAGTCTCCTTGTTACAGCAGTTTAGCTTTGTGCACTAACCAATGCATTACTAAGCTGTTTAGGGAAAAACTCACATTTGTAAATGCTTTTATTATTTAAGGAAAGCTGACAGTAAATGAACTGGGCATCGGATTACAGAATCAAGGTGAGAATGAACAATTTAAACATGATAAAAATGGTTTAAAGCAGATAGTAATGAAATTCAAGGGAAGTAGACTTCATAAAAGTAAGAGCAAGATTTTTGAAAAGTAAAAAAGATACATTTAATGAAACCTTATCAAGAAATAGAAATCACAAAAAGATTTTAAAAGAGAGTGTAAAAACAAATTTAGAAGTGCTTTTTTTTTGGTTTTGTTTTCCCACTGACACCGGCCTGCAGCTGTTATATATATAAGCAACATTCCCCAGCCACCTCTTGGGTTTTGGTCTAGGTCAGCACCCTCCTGTGTACTGATCTCCTGTGTGGCAGCACACTCCCTATTAAATTAAAACTCCCTTTACTGTTCCTGTAGAACAATAATAATGATGGTAATAATAATAATAATAACAACAACAGATATAAAGGTATAGTAATATAGTTGAAACTTAAGACGACTTCTCTGAATACAGAAAAATATTAATTACTTGAGAAGTAGAAAATATGAATAATCTAATTACACCAAAGTCATGAAAAAAGTGTTCAAATGACAGTAGACAGAAAGGAGCCCTAAAGAAGATCTCACTGTGAGTGTTTTTCACCTCTACCAAAAGCTATCTATCTATCTATCTATCTATCTATCTATCTATCTATCTACCTATCTACCTACCTATCTATCATCTATCTACCTAGCAATATTGGGAATTGAACCCAGGACCTTCACACTGAGCTACATCCTCAGTCCTTTATTTTTTATTTTAGAGGACTCTCACTAAATTGCTAAGTTGTCCATGCTGGGCTCAAACTCATGATCCTTCTGCCTCAGCCTCTCAGATTGCTGGGATGACAGTTGTGACACTATGCCCAACTTTCTCTTTCCTTTATATTGTGGTATTTTGGAGGTCATGGCTGACCTGAGCGATAGAAGACTCTCAAATATTCTTATATATTCCGGTGCATAGGTTCAAGGTCATGAATAGTTTTGTATTTCTGACTCACTAATGTTAAACCATAATGGTTAAGCCACTAGTTTTTTGTTAAGAGTGTGTGGCATTTGATGGTAAAATTGTATCTGAAATATATTGTGAGCTCTGTGTTTTTGTTTTCTCACAGTCTTTGAGGTCAGTGTTATATTTGCTTTTGGTACAGATTGCATTATTGTATCTCATATTCCTCCAAAAAAGAAGTTAGTATTAAAGAAAAATGTGAAAATAAGGTGCAGACTACTTATTAGACATCTTGTAACACAATGTCTGAACAAATAAAAAGGTGCTCAGAAATCTACAGGTACACACAAGCTTTTCATGCTTGAAACCTCTATTTTGAACACAAATTGAAGAAGATTATAATGATGACATAGATATGGCTTCTCTGACAAGCAAAAAAAAAAAAAAAGCAAAAGCTGTGTTAGGTGCTATGCATCCAAAATGAGTTGCTTATCAAAATATTTTTGCAAGTTTTGTGAAAAGTATCTGTGTCTTGAACATAGCAATATGGTTTGTTATGACTGTTAAAATGTTTTGCAAAACCAACTATTGAAAATGTTGGTTAAAGACATTTTTGGTTGTATTTTTTTAGCAATAACCATATTTCTATTATTTGAAAGGAAAAATTTGTATTCTTTATATTTTTTAATAGTTTCTAGATTGTAACTGAAAATAAATAAAAAGTCATGTACTTTATTATATTAACAGAATAAATGCAAATTTGCAGTATTTTGAATTTTTCCATATTTCAGTATACACTAGTAATAAATGCATCTCTCAGATACACATGACCTCCACTGTAATACATTTGACTGCAACCTCTTAAAGACCTATCTGTCTTGCAGAAGATGCCGAATCAGCCCTCTGCAGACAGGCAGGTCTGTGGATGCCCTACTAAAGTCCCGAGTGGCGCCGAACACTCAGAATCACCCCATGCCCCGGCAACAATCCACTGGACCCCCACCCCTGCTCCTCTGTACAGCCACCTGGTTCCACACTACAAAGACGCAGACACCTGACCACCAGACCACAGTACTGAGTCCCGCTGCCGCTGGCCCAGAGGTAGGGGCTCCTGAGCCATCGTCCCACTGCTCCTGGTCCAGAGGAAGGGGATTCCCAGCCACCATCCCTCCTGCTGCTCCCAGCCCAGAGGATAGGGCTTTTGGGCCACCTTCTGTCCCACTGCTCCTGGCCCAGGGGAAGGGGCTTCTGGCAACCATCCCTCCCACTGCTCCCAGGACAC